TGGGAAATGGGGATTGGGGGAAATTGGGAGGGGAAATGGGGATTGGGGGGAAAATGGGGATTGGGGAGATGGGGATTGTGGGGAAATGGGGATTGGGAATGGGGATTGGGGGAAATGGGGAGAGGAAATGGGATTGGGGAGGGGAAAATGGGGATTTGGGGGAAATGGGGATTGGGAATGGGGAAATGGGAATGGGGAAATGGGGATTGGGAATGGGGATTGGGAATGGGGATTGGGAATGGGGATTTGGGGGAAATGGGGATTGGGGAAGGAAATGGGGATGGGGAAATGGGATTGGAAATGGGGATTGTGGGGAAATGGGGATTTAGGATGGGGAAATGGGGATTGTGGGGAAATGGGGATTTGGGATTTTGTGGAAGGAAACGGGGATTTGTGTGGGAATAAGAAGGATTTAGGGGTGAAAAAGAAGGATTTGGAGGGGAATAAAGGGGATTTGGAGGGGAATAAAGGGGATTCAGGAGGGAAACAGGGATTTGGGGACGGAGCAAACACTGAATTCCGAAATAATCCCAAATTTTGGGACCACGGGGATGGAATTTTGGGCCAGCCCCACCCTTCCTGAGCCATAAAAAATTGGGAATTTGGGCCATTCCAGGTACGAGGAGCCCGGCCCCGAGGTGCAGCTGAGCGAGGAACTGCCCGAATCCCTCCGGAGCCTCCGGGTGAGCTTCGGTTTTGGGGGGAAAAATCCAAAATTTGGGGATTTTGGGGCTGCCAGCAGCTGGTGATGAGAGCCATCCTTGCGCTGTGAGAATTCCCAGAGCCGGGAATGTGAAGGGTTTTGGGGGTCCCGGGGTTTCGTCGCGTGGATGAGACCCCGGGGAGAGGCTGAGGCTGCTGGGAGCATCCCAGAATTTAGAGGGAAAATCCCAGTATTTAGAGGGAAATCCCAAAACTGGGGAGAAAATCCCAAAATTGAGGGGGAAATCCCAAAATTTAGGGGAAAAATCACAAAATTTAGGGGAAAACCACAAAATTTAGAGGGAAAATCCCAAAATTTAGGGGGAAAATCCCAATATTGGAGAGAAAATCCCAAAATTTAGGGGGAAAATCCCAAAATTTAGGGGAAAACCACAAAATTTAGAGGGAAAATCCCAAAATTTAGGGGGAAAATCCCAAAATTTCGGGGGAAAATCCCAAAATTTAGAGGGAAATCCCAAAATTTAGAGAGAAAATCCAAAAATTTAGGGGGAAAATCCCAAAATTGGGGAGAAAATCCCAAAATTTAGGGGGAAAATCACAAAATTTAGGGGAAAAATCCCAATATTGGAGAGAAGATCCCAAAATTTAGGGGAAAATCCCCAAATTTAGGGGGAAAATCCCAATATTGGAGAGAAAATCCCCAAATGTAGGGGGAAATCCCAAAATTTACGGGAAAACCACAAAATTTAGAGGGAAAATCCCAAAATTTCGGGGGAAAATCCCAAAATTTCGGGGGAAAATCCCAAAATTTAGAGGGAAATCCCAAAATTTAGAGAGAAAATCCAAAAATTTCGGGGGAAAATCCCAAAATTGGGGAGAAAATCCCAAAATTTAGGGGGAAA